TATTTTGGTCAATTTATATAAATAAACCACTTTTATTTTTAAATGAAAGTTTTAAATTTTCTTTGAATTTTGTCAAGAGTCAATGTGACACCTCAGACTCGTATTCAAGTCAGGTACGGGTTGGGGGTGTTACATTTCATGGTATGATAGCTAAGGTTTAGCCGATTCTAGGCTTAAAGTCAAATGAGGTTTAAAAATATGTATATGCCAACTAAAAGTGAAAATTTATGATATGATAGTGTAAGGAGTATGTTGTCTTGCTAATAGAATAAGATTTGTATGATATAGAAGAAATTTATTATAGACATTATCGAAGTGAATCGATAACTGACAAATTTGATGGTGATAGCAATTCACCTGCCCTGGTCAGGCAGGATGAAGAGCAGAAACCTCAGAAAGTGTCTTATAAGATTAAAGGTTGATTTCAGAAAGTTGAAATCATATTAGAATAGTGGTAAAAGGATTTCACTGTTTCGAATCGAAAAAGTGATATGGAGAAGTTTTGTTATAAAGTGAATAAGATAGAATATGGTGAGCAAGTGTCACCATAAAGACGTTAAGAGATCAAATGATTGGGTTAGAATTGCAAAAGAGTTTAAGGATAAGTGCATCAGTATAAGGTATATGAAGCCAGAGTTTATGAGTTTGATACAGAGGGAAAACGTACTGTATGGACAAGAGTACAGTTTGATGAGTAGAGTGAAAGGTTATGAACCTAATTTAAATGAAATTGATGCATGCAAGTGATGTGTAAAGGGTTGATGCCTAGATTAAAAGAGTGCTATAGGTGTTGAAATGGTTCCCTTTTCAAAAGTGGTTATTATGTTAAGGTTCTGGAGAGAACTCAGAATGATTAAGGGAACTAGAATTTCATAAATCAGCACAATCAAATAGAGATAGAGATTATGATTTTTAACTACAAACTTGGTTGGAATTGGTTGTATTCCAAGTTAAAAGATCAAATTTGAGGAATGACTTCAGAGTTTTGCTAGAATTATACAAAGTGAGGAATAAGAAGTCTTTTAAATGGATCAAGTGATGTAGATACTGTTTTGTATTCTAGAAGGAAAAAGTTAGCGTTGGCTAACAAGAATATGTGATGGGAATGTACTGGAAGTATAAGATTATAAGATATTGTCAGAATATGATAACCAAATCTGAAATGGATCTGGATACAGTTGTATATTTGAGTAAAGCTGAGGATTGATAAGAAGAATTTGAGAATGTGTATATCGATAATTAGTTTATAAGATAAAGGAAGTCATAATGTTGAGTTTGAACAATGGAAATTTTAGGATGCATGAGAATAGAGGTGAAATTGACAAGTTAAGTAAACGAATTTTGAGATAATTTCGATTGGGAATGATGTATATGATTGGTTGACTAGGGCTTGTGCCCTAGATTGGACAGATGTTATTGACTAGCTATCAGAGTAAAAGTGATAGAGTTATAAGATTGGAGGAAAAGATAAAGTTGAGTTGATCAATTATGATGTGAATCTGAATATAGTTGTGTATTCTGATCAGATAGCTATGATGTAGAAAAGGGGATAAGTATTTGCATAAAACCTTAAGGAAGAAAAAATACAAGTATAAGAAATGATAAAGAATGAAGTTCTGTATAAGAAATAGGTTATCAAAGTTATGAAGATTGATACATAGAGATGAGTATAGGTGATAAGACAAGAGTATATGAACATGAAAGGAAATATATGATTTATGTATAAGGAGATTTCAATTTGTAATGAATAAAGGAATAATGGAATAAAGAAATGAAAATGGATGTTACTGTCTATGTAATGAGTGACATTATATGGATTTTAGAAAGGTCAAAGGAAAATGCAGAATCGAATGAGAGAAAAGACATAGATGGATGGAGGTTATGGGTTACTGTGTATATGATAAGAGAGGGTATAATATATGTTCTTATTGATATGTTCAGTGAAAATTCGAGGATGAATTTTCTTTAAAGGATGGGAGATTTGTAACATCCTCAATATCGGGTTAGTGATCAAATTGTAAAGTTTCAGAATTTGGTGAATATAGTAGAACAATGGATTAGTTCAATGATTTATTTCCAAATAAATCATAAAAGTTGTTAGTAATTATTAGATGAATGGAAGGGCAAAATGGTCATTTGCAAGGAAAATAATTAAATATGGTTATATATACATGTGGGTGGCAGGGAGAAGACATCAAAAAGTTCCAGAGTTCTCTTATCTTCTCATCTTCCTTCTTCATGCGTAAAGGGCTTGAATAAAAGGTGAGTCTTCTATTTAGATAATTTCTGGTTAAATTTAAGGTCGGGTTATGATCATTAGATGATAACTAAGCTTAAGGAAAGCTTAGATTATCTTAAGACCATAAGATGAGGAGTACATGAGGGATTAAAGAAATGATATAGAAAAGTGAAATCTTGGAATAGAGTTCTTAACTAGAATTGGAAGTTAAATTTGACTTGTCATCAATCTAATTAAGAGATATGAAGTAATAAAATTTGATTTAGAACAAGCAGAAAATTTAGTATGATTCTTGGATTTCATATGAAAGATAAAATTTTGAGTTTAAAGAAGCGATTATGGAGTAGAAATGAGTTTAAGTATGTATATGAAAGTTAGGAATATTAAAGGAGGTGAAAGATGAAGAGTTAAGCTGAAAGAGAGTGGATTTCGTGCTTAAAATGTAAATTTTGGGTTGTGTGCACCGATGCATCTTGAATGTGTATCGATGCACTCTCAAATATTGAACATCGAATGCCAATAGTGCATCGATGCATAAGGAGTGCATCGATGCACCCGTTTAAAAGACAAACATCGAATAGGATTTGTGTATCGATGCATGGGTAGTGAATCGATGCACATGTTAAAGGATGCATCGATGCACTGTAGAATGCATCGATGCACTTCAAGGGGAAATTGAAATAGACATTTCTTTTGGTCTAAGAAATGATAGATTATAGTATATCAATGGGATACTGATAGTATAAATATATGATTGCGTAGATATCGAACATGAACAAGTTCCAGAACGATTATCAAGTTAAGATTCGATCGGAAGAGATGAAATCATAAAAATGGATTGGAACTTAGTGAGGCCAAGGTGAGTGCGTATTATTAGATTGTGCATATTATTATATGGAAATTAGACTTGCGATAAGTCTGTTTCCAATATTTTATATGTTTGCATGAATAGAAGCATGATCAAGTTTGTATTATGTGTATATGCTTTGTTCATATTATATGTTATGAGGTGTGAATTTATATGATATGGGTTATACGGAAACGAAATATGTAACTATATGTGAACCTTATGAGTTGTATGAATATGTGAAATAAGTTATAAGGTCACAAATCATGTATAATAGTAAATGTTGTATGTGATAATCATAGAAAGACAATAAGTTAAGTGATCATGAACATGTAAATATATGTTTAGATGAAGATATAATAGCAAAACATAAAGTACATGAGTCAAGTTTATGGAAACTATTATAATTTACTTATAGAATTAAATAAAAAGTGAGATAAACTAACTAGCATTGATTTATAGGATAATATGAAAATAGAATATCAATTAGGAGATTTGTACATAAATAATAATAATAATCATATGAGAGATAAGCTGTATGAGAAAGATTTATGTGCTTAGATGAGCTATGATATAGAAATTACATGGTAAAGATCTATGAAGTCATAGGAAAAGGTTATAAGAGTAATGTATATAAATGAATTAAGAGAATATAAGAAATTTGTATATAAATGAATTTATATAAGTGATATATGTTACTATGCTACAATATATGTTATAGGATCTATGTAAACATAAGAGAACAAAATATGAGCTAGGGGTTATGAATATAAATGATGATATGATTATGTACAATAAATTGGGGAATTATGATCTAAGTGTTTATATGTCTATAAAAAGATATAAGAACAATATATAAGCTATGAAATAGGAACTGTGGGATTTTAATGCTTTATAACATTATCTATGTGATTAAGTACAAATGTGATATCCATATATGACAATGAATTGTGAAATTGTATGAAAATGTGATATGATCTACGAGATAATAAATCATCATGTGAATTATATGGAAGTGATTTGTGTGTACATGTCTAAGATGTCTTACATGATATGTATGATTTCACAAGAAATGACATGAGCTATGTGATTACATGATTATAAGAGATCAGACATGCAATAAGAGATAAGTGTTATGAATGTGTGAATATGAAATGACATAGATAATAATGCCCATGTTATGTGTCATGAGAGCTAGGGGTATAGTTGGCATGCCAAGAGTCGAGGGTCTACGCGGTCCTTCGGGACATATATGTATTCCTTGGAACATGTGTGATGTCTTTTGAGACACATACTTGATCCTTTGTATATGTATATGATTCTTAAGGAATTTTCTACGTGGTCCTTAGGGACATTTTATATGACACTTCGGTGCAATTCTACGCGGCACTTCGGTGCAATTCTACATGGCACTTAGGTGCATTTATACGAGCTGTGGTGACAACATTTGTGCACAACCTCTATAGACTCATATATCTATAGTTCTCACATGTGTACATGGGCTAATAAAGAAATAACAACAAACATATTACATGTGATTTGTATGCTTTTGTGCTATGAATTATATTATATGATTTTATATGATGATATGTGGATTGTATGATTAAATAAGTCAAATGTGGGGTAAAATACTATGTATAAGAGGATATATACGTAGTGAGATAAATAATAATGATATTGATAATGAAATGAGGCTACTGATGGAAATGATGAGTATATGTGTGTATATATGTTCTTACATGTAATGATATATTGCATATGTGTTATAGGGATTTGTTACATGAATAAGGGTATGAGTGATAGCAGTAATAGTTCATGCATGAATACAAGTTATAGTTACATTATATGTTTATTGTCTCACTAAGTCATAGACTTAGCGTATGATTGTTTCACGCGTAGGTTACAGAAGCGAGAATAGAAGCGAAGAAGAGCAAAAACAAACAGGTCAGCATCTCCCTTACAAAGTTTCATATTAGAAAAATGATGATTTAAATGCATTTGGTTATTAAATATAGTTGGCATGTACTAATTGATTGAGTTGAATATGCTCTGATCGATTTTGATTATTTTGGTCAATTTATATAAATAAATCACTTTTATTTTTAAATGAAAGTTTTAAATTTTCTTTGAATTTTGTCAAGAGTCAATGTGACACCTCAGACTCGTATTTAGGTCGGGTACGGGTTGGGGGTGTTACAGGTCAGGTCAGGTTCGGGTTTAAGGTGAAAAAAATCCGACCCGAAAAAAATATATAATTTTACCCTATATTTTCAGGGATAATTATAATAATACCCCTCTATATATAATTTTTTTTCAATTAAGTCACTGTTTTTATTGAATAAAAATAATTTTTTTATTATTTCGGGTCGGGTCAGGTCGGGTTTCTATGTCATATATTCGGGTCGGGTCGGGTCGGGTGAAACCTTGTTTTGGTCGGGTCGGGTCTCGTGTGGAGGCTCTCTTGTTTTCGGGTCGGGTCGGGTAGACCAAAAACCCGACCCATGCACATCCCTAGGTGGGTCACGTCTAGGGGTGTAAACGAGCCGAGTCGAGCTCGAGTATTGATGAGCTCGACTCGACTCGAAAACTCTGAAATGGAGCTCGACTCGACCCAAAAACTCGAGAGCTTAAAATTTTTAAGCTCGACTCGAACTCGAAATCCTGAACTGAAGCTCGTGAGCAGCTCGAAAATGCTCGAAATAAAAAATCTTAAACTTAACAAGATTGAATCATCAAACTCAAACTCGAACCTGAATCTTAAATACATGAAAGCCTTATTGTATTTTTTAAAAAAATCAACACATAAATATATTATTAATAATTTATTTAAAAAAATAATTCTTAATATATTATATTTCGAGCTGCTCACGAGCTTTTCGAGTCGAGTATCAAGTAGCTCGTTTCTGCTCGTTAAGAATTCGAGTCGAGCTCGAGTTCGAGTCGAGTCCATTCGATCCGAGTATTTATCGAGCCTTGACCGAATCGATCTCGAGTAGCTCGCGATTTGTCTCGTCTCATTTACAGCCATAGTCACGTCGTAGTCGCCGTTCGTCATCGTGGGTAAGCTTCGGTGTTAGAATTTGAGTTTTTTTTGTAATTTAAAAGAAATAAGGGTTTTTTTATAAATATAATAATATTTTTAATATTTATTTTTAAAATTAAAATTTTAAAATTACCAGATTGTGACTTGTGTCACTTAACGGAAAAAACTAACGGTGCGTCAAGGCGTGGCCCATTTTGAGTAACTGAATGTAATGTTAGGCATCAAACTAGAACGAAAAAATATTAGACACTAAACTGAAAAAACGGACATACGTTAGGTACTTTTCGTATATTTAAGCCAATATTTGAATTAGTTGAATTCATTCGAGTTAGTAATGTTGATGAGACATTTTTTATCATTTTTTTATTTTTCTAATCGAGTTAATATTTCGAATCAAATTAAATTAAAATTTACTCATCCCTAATCATAAATAAAAAAATCAATATAATCAATAATAAGAGATTAAAAAAACCCCATAATACTCCTATAAGCCTCCAAGGTCTGAGAGACTTCACCTCCGCCACACAAAAAATTAATTTTAATTTGTTCATCAAGTGAGTCATACCATAAAATGTTTAAGTCAAACCAAATGAAATTCAAATAATATATATATATATATATATATATATATATATATATATCAAATTAGAAAATGAAGATGAATATTAAAAAGAGTTACGATACACTTAAACCTAGTGTAAAATTTTTAGTTTTATACTTTTTTAGGATCGTTGGATGAAGGGAAATCAAAAATTATTTTTTTTCCAGTGAATATCTTTACATTTCCAACTATTACTCTTAGACTTTGATAGTGGATCTTGTAGATGACATTATCACTGATACAAACATCAAAATAGAAAATTTAAAAGAGTAAAAAGACAATAACAAAAGAAACTCTTAACAACACAAAAATAAAATAAAATAAAATAAACAAAAATAGAAATTTCATGTCTTACTAACATATAAATAAAAGTGACAAAAATAAAGATTCTTTGCTTCACCGATCCATGAAGAACAAAAATAAAATGAGAACAATATAAATTTTTTTCTATTGACAGTGAAAGATCTAAAAATATTTTTTAGGGCGGACATGCATGTATTAATAATAGAAATTCTTTGTATGGAAAAGGCACAAATAAAATTTTAGGGTGGTCACCATCAACAAAACGAACAACGAACATAAAGAAATTTGGATTTCAAGATGTATACGTGTCCACCCTGAACTACATGTACGTTCGCCATTGTCTATAGAGGCATGAAAACAAAAACAAAATAACACAATAAAAATTCTCTTGTACATTACAAAAATAACAACATAATCCTTTATTAAAAAAAAACTCTACTTTCTTATAAAAAGATACAACTTAACAATGATTTTGACGTGTTACAATTATTATTAAAAAAATAATAAAATATCGTGTCAACGGTTATGTTAATTTTTTAGTGACATATACTAAATTAAAAATTAAACTAAACGTTAAGTGTGATTTAAAAAAAATCAAAGTGAAACAAAAATAATAATTTAATATGTTTACGGGAATATGGTTATGTAAGTGATTAACTTATTTCGACTTAAACCGGAGGAGACAGACGGATTAAGCAATATATAAACAAAGGAGGAATTTTAGGAAATTTTATTCACATATGAAAGAAACAAAATCCATTATTTTATTATTTACCTTATCCAACTAACTTAATTTCTCCTCTCTCTCCATGTAAATGTATAGATATGAACAATTTTCTTTTTCATTTTTCCTGACCCAGGAATTTCATCAAAAGGCTGCTTCAATGGAATCTCGTGCACAAATGGTAAACGGTTGCATCTTCTTCTTTTTAACTATATTTTCCATCACTTTGTCCTGAAACTAATTTGTTTTCTTCTTTTATTTCTTGCAGTCTTGTGTTTTGAAAGTGAACGTCAGTTGCGAGACATGCAAAAGTAAGGTGATGGATGTGTTGCAGAATCTCCATGGTAATTCATTTCCCATTCTTCAATGAATATTTCAGTAAAAAAAAAACTTTTTTTCCAGGAAAATGGTTTCCAAGAAAGTAATATCTTCCTTTTTGTTGTTGGATATAGATTTAGGGGTGTTTATATTCCGTTGTCATTGATGCAGAGAAAGGGACAATGAAAGTTTCAGGAAATGTAAATCCGTATATAATTATGAAGATCTTTGAAAAATATGGGAAACATGGAGCCAATGTGTCATCCCCACCATTTCTATTATGGGTTCATTCCTTATGGATCGGTTCATCCCTATCCACCTATGGGAGGGCCAGACCATAATTTTTTAGAGATATTAATTATTTCTAAAATTAATCCAACTATTTTCAATATTTTTATTTAAAATTTATAATAAAAAATAAAAATAAATAAACAAATGTTAATTCGCAACCAAACTTACACTTGACTCGTCATTGAGCAAAAGGATAAGCATGTCGCTCTATGGCCATGCCATGCACCCTGAGGCCCTCACTTCTATATCGTCTAGTTTTAAATATACCTCAATTAGAGTTAAAAATTTAATTTTTATTTAATTTGATTGAAAAAAACAGATTTAAAAAAATTTATCTCGACTCAAATTGATTTTAAGTTGTAATTTCATAATTTCGACTCAATTTTTTTTTAGTAATTAGTATATTATTTTTTAAGTTTGAATCGAGTACTTCGACTCTTATGATATATGTATATCTCATATAAAAAATATGAATATATATATATATATATATATATATATATATATATATATATATATATATATATATATATATATATATATATATTTACAATTAAATTTAAATATAAACTCGACTAAAAAAATTTAAAATCAAATTTAAATTATAAAATTAAACTCATCAATTCAAATTTTTTAATTCTACTTAATTTAACTCTATCTAAAACTCACCATTAATCCAATCAGTCGAAAACAAGTGTTCGTTGAAAACAATTTCTACATGTACGAGCAGCTATGTAGTCACACATTCGGCATCACTTCATCCTTGTTAATTTCCACTTCCTTCATCTTATCATTTCGCCATTTCAGTTCAAATATCATCGCCATGAACGCTACTTCTGCCCCCGCCGCTGCCCCTCCTCAACCCTTATTCATCACTCCGGCTGAAATCGTCTCTGAGTTCTCCCACCACACCCCTCTGTCGCTCGCATCAACAATGGCGGCTTTGGTAGATGTCCTTTTTCTCTTATTTCTTCCCAGCATCAAATCCAGCTACAGTGGCTACGACAGCCCGACGAATTCTTCTTCAACCAGCTCCAGCTCGGGATGCTCCGTTCCAGAAACGTTATCAAGGACCTTATCAACGCTGACCATGTTGATGAAGTCTCCATTGTCGACAACGCCACCACCGCGGTCTCCATCGTGCTTCAGCATATCGCATGGGGCTTCGCCGAGGGGAGATTCTACCCTGGCGATGCCACTGTCATGTTTCACTGTGCTTATGGAGCCGTCAAGAAGTCCGTTGAAGCATATTTCGTACGAACCGGAGGTTACGTGATCGAGGTCCCTTTGCCTTTCCCTCTTTATTCCGATGATGAAATAGTGCAAGAGTTTAGGCAGGCATTAGAGAAAGCCAAGCAAAACAACAGGAGGGTGAGATTAGCCATCATCGACCATGTTACATTCATGCCCACCGTGGTCATTCCAGTTAAACAAATCGTCAACATCTGTCGATCGGCAGGCGTCGACCACATCTTCATCGACGCAGCTCATGGAATCGGGTGTGTCGACGTCGATATGAAACAAATCGGAGCCGACTTCTACACTAGTAATCTGCATAAATGGTTGTTCTGCCCACCTTCCGCCACCTTCGATTCTTGTACTGTCGAAGGTCTAACGAAAGCTTTGCTTTGCATCATCCCGTTGTTTCCCACGAGTACGGGAATGGGTTGGCCACAGAAAGTAGTTGGATCGGGACTAGGGATTATAGTGCACAGTTGGTTGTTCCTAAAGTGTTGGAATTTGTCGATAGGTTCGAAGGCGGCATCGACGGAATCAAGAAAAGGAACCATGACGCGGTAGTCGAGATGGGGGAGATGTTGGCAAAAGCATGGGGAACTCATCTGGGCTGCCCTTCTGTGTTCGAGCATGGTTATGGTGGGTCTGCCTGCTTGTTTGGGAGTGTCGAGCGATCAACACACTTTGAAGTTACGAACATACTTGAGGGACAAGTTTGGTGTAGAAGTTTCGATATATTATCGAGCACCCAAGGAAGGGGAGGTCGGTCCATTTACGGGTACGCTCAAATATCTTATCAAGTTTACAACAAGGTTGAGGATTATTACAAGTTTAGGGACGCTATTAGTCAGCTCGTGCAGAATGCGTTCACTTGCGCATCTCTTCCCAACTCATAAGATTGATGTGTGCAGGTGCAGCTGGGCAATGAATGTGTGGTACTGGTAGGGATGAATCGAGGAACGGTTGAGGACAACAATGTCTCTTCAAAATACTAAATTATCATAATTTTTAAATATTTTTATTTCTTAAAATATTATAAGTTCACTCATCCTAAATTTTTCAAAAATTAAATGCTCAAACGTAAAACTTTACCAACGTACCGGTGCGTGATGCAATTCATGAATATGTTAATAAATTTGTTCATCATGTAGTATTTGCTTTTGTTTGACTTATCGAAATTCTCTCTCTCTCTGTATCCTCTCATTCATGTAAAACTGATGTCTAACAATCAATGATGTAAGAATCAGGGATTAGGGTAGAAATAATCAAGCTACCGGTTTTTACTCTTTAGTTTAACGATTATAAAATTAAAAGAAAAATAAGAAAATAGGAAATAGGAAATCCAGAAAATAAAAATAAACTCAACTCTCTACCATTTAAGCTATAAATCAGGGGGAAATAATAAAAAAAACATATCTTAAAATATTTTTGATCGATTTTCTTTATTTCAATCCTTGATTTTAATGGTAGAATGATGTAATGTAAAAAAATGATTTATATTTTACGTTGGTGTGATATTAACTCGATAAAAGGTTATATACCAACCTTTGTCCTGGGCGTGAAAACAAACATTTGCAGTGCTTTTGTGCAAGTTTAAAGAAAACCATCCCTTATTCATCACTCCGGCCGAAATCTTCTCTGAATTCTCCCACCACCACCCCTCCGTCGATCGCATCAACAATGACGGCTGTCCTCTTATTTCTTCCCAGAATCAAATACATCTGCAGTGGCTACGGCAGGCCGACGAATTCATTTTCAACCAGCTCCAGAAACGTTATCAAGGACGAATTGTTGCAGGGTGTTGTTTGAATTGATATGGAGGGATTACTTCCGGTTCGTTTCGATAAAACATGGGAATTCCCTTTTCCATTTACGTAAAGATCGAAATTATTCAAATTTCTTTAGGAGTGTATTACTAATATTTATGGTGACATTGTCACTGTTCCATTAGAAGGTCTGCAAGTAGGTTCTTTGATAGTATTAATAATTCTTCACAAACGTGGTTGAACCAATAGTCATATCATATCAATTGACAAATTTGGGTAATTAGGTGGTCCAAGAAAAGTGGAACAGAGGTGGCGTCAAGACCAAAAATCGTTTGAGGCCTGGAGAAATGGCTGCATTGGGTATACAGCAGATGCTTCGTTTCATTCATTTATATACTTTATCATGCATTTATGTGAATTTCACAAATTTGTAGCTACCCTCTAATTGATGCAAACATGAAGGAACTATCAGCCTCTGGATTTATGTCGAATCGAGGCTGGCAGGTAAACTTTTCATTTTTTTTCTTTCATGTAGAATATAATTATAATTGTTGCTTGCTTTCGAATCCTGCAAGCTGTTAAAACATGTTTTCAACATGATGAAATGGCATGCAGATTGTATGTTCCTTTCTTGTTCGAGACATGGGAATTGACTGGCGCATGGGTGCAGAATGGTTCGAGACATGCCTTCCAGATTACGACCCGTGTTCGAACTATGGAAACTGGACGTATGGTGCAGGTGAATTGTGAGCTCATTTGTTCAACCTTTGTTCTGGAATATGACAAGTCTTTACCTAACATGATATAACGTTTCTTCTTTTAAGGAGTTGGAAAATGATCCTCGAGAAGATCGGTATTTCAGCATCCCAAAGCAAGTAAGTGCACTAGGATACACTATGCATTTACACAAGTTTGTGAACATGAGACACTTTCAAGTAAAAACATGGCCGAGTAGCATGCAATATTGGTGTGGATGAACAATTTTTAAGGCGCGGACATATGATCCAGATGGGGAGTTCCGAGTACGTAGCATTTTGGTTGCCGGAGCTTGTTCCTCTCCCCAGAGAAAAAAGGATTTTTTTCCTGGAAAATCATATATTGAGCAAGTTGTACCTCTCAAATTTGGGAACACTTACAAGCCACAGACTCGAAGAAATAAATATGGTGGAAGACAATCCAGGCTACAGAGTAGATGAAAGAATTCAATTTAAGGGGTTTGCTTTAAATCTGATTCAATTGGGATAGCTTCTGCCTGCTTCTTCCATCCTATTTGTGCTACTTTTATTGGATAAAGTTACTAAATTAGTATCAGATTTTGTTTTTTATCAAACTAATAAATTTATGTTGAATCAACCAATTTGATTTGATTTTGATAACACTATGAACAATACGTTCTAACAACTTACCACATAAGAAAGGAGTTACCAAAAGAAATAGCCCAAAGTTATTATAAAAAATAAATGGAACAGCCCAAGCCCAATAAAGCGACAGTGCCAGCAAAAATAGATATAACGGTTGAGAGAAATAAACGGATCCACGCGGCAAGAATCCCTGGGCGAACACCAAATATTTGGATTTGCCGCGCTAGTCTTGCCTCGCTTAGGATTTTGTCATAATCACAACACAAAACACAGCTTAGGATTTTGTGATAGCCACAAAACCCCAGGTTCGGAAATCCCAACCAAGGCTAAATAAGTAATTAAATAATATCTCCCAAACTCAACATCAAACAAAACGTAAATAAATAAAAGTTTAAGTGAAAATAAATATTTAAACTCTAGTTTTTTATTTAGATATTTAACTTTTGAATCAAAATTTTTCTTTATCTTTTTACTTATTTATCTAAAAAATTAGAAGGAAAAAAAATAAATCGATATCACGTTTTATTTATGTATATATTAGATAAAAAGATTCAACAAACAATCTAAAAATAATTACGAAATAAAATATATATTTAGATTAAAAAATATATAATTAAATATTTATTTTTTAATTACGTCATAAATAAATAATATTAGGAAACAATCTGGATTCCATTAACAAATTCAAAGATCCAATCTCATCTCTTCCGATTTCTTCTCCACCATCTATCTTTTCAATTACTGAAAACAAAATCCACACGCAGATAACGACAAGCTTTTGCTTATTGTCAAATTCCCAGATTAAGCTCAGAGACATCTACAGAGAAGAAGTGAAGCTGCTGCCATGGCTTATTAGTTGGTAAACTCTCTTTCTCTCTATTCTGTTCTTTCTGATTCTCTTTTTTTGTCTCCCTTTCGTCTATTTGTTTTTCCTTAAAAAGTCAAAATATTTTCTTTTTATTCCTTTCTCTTTGGCTTTTTTCTCTCTTCTGGAGTTTGTTTTCAGTACGGCGTTTCAGTTTCTCTTTCTTTTCACTTTCCCTAGAAAATTCTCTTTCTATTTATTTTCAAATTAAAATAGAAGCTGTCTCTTTCTCTTTCTCTTTCTCTTTCTTTCTCTATGTCTTCATGAACAATTTACAAAGACTTTCATTATGGATAGTTATGGTTGTTGTTTATAGCACCTCTATATCTCCACCTGCTCTACTGCCATCTCATAGCCATTTAGCCTTCTCTTTGCTTTTACCAGATTCATTTCATCCATTTTCACTGCTTCCAGATTTCTCATCCTTCGTTTCAAATACCCTTTTCACTGTTTCAAAGTTACAAAATCCTTAAATCTTGCGAGTGGTATTATATTATATTATATTATATTATATTGTATTGTATTGTATTGTATTGTATTGTATTGTATTGTATTGTATTGTATTGTATTGTATTGTATTGTATTGTATTGTATTGTATTGTATTGTATTGTATTGTATTGTATTGTATTGTATTGTATTGTATTGTATTGTATTGTATTGTATTGTATTGTATTATATTGTATTGTATTATATTGTATTATATTGTATTGTATTATATTATATTATATATATATATATATATTTCAGACTTGTTTCTTTCTGTCCCACTTTAATTAAATGCACAACCACCATGTTCACATGCGGGTATCTCAGGGAAACACCTTCCATTTACTACATGCAAAGGCTACGAACCTGCCTCTAAGCCACTAGGTTTTTTTTATCTCCTTCAAAGCTCTTGCATTCACGATCAGATCTTTTAGCTACGCCTGCATATTCTCCTTCGGATCAAGAAGGTTATATACCTGATAGCTGTACTTACCGCTGGATCAAGAACGTGCAATCCTGATGTCATCCGTGTCGTCCTCATCGCCTAGGGATTTCGATCCTTTGTTGAAGGATTTGAATGAGAAGAAACAAAGTTTCCGGCGTAACGTGGTGTCGCTTGCGGCGGAGTTGAAGGAGGTAAGGAGCCGTTTGGCATCGCAAGAACAGTCATTTGCTCAAGAAACCCTAACGAGACAGGCATGCCTTCTTTTCCGTGTCTCTTTGTGTTTAACTTTCAGTTTTTAATTGAATATTTCTCCCTTTTTGGGTCTTTTGTTTGTGGGGTCAAATGGAACTTGTTTACTAATAGACTTGGTTTCTCTTTAAAACAAAAAATAAATTCAGGATGCAGAGACAAAGGCAAAGCACATGGAGGAGGAGATTTTTAAACTGCAGAAGAGGTTAGAGGAGAGAAATGGGGAGCTTCAAGCTTCAGCCTCTGCTTCTGAAAAGGTCCCGCCTAAATCCCGGTTCTTGAACTTTTATCATTTCTTTTGCATATTAATTAGCTTTATAATACAGTAATTATATTTCATTTTCATTTGTTAATGATAATTTAGAAAGAACCCATCATGCCCTTATTTTTTGCATCTTGACCTTTTAAAGTTATACGTCTCTAGGCTTTTCCTGTTTAGTTATTTCTTGGGGAGCCCATCAAAGGAAAGACGACCAAGTGTTTTTGATCTTATTTTAATGTCTCCTCTTTATTATAACTTGTAGAAGTTTGGAAATTTTTGTAAGAGCTTGGTTGGTCACAAAATTGAACTCTGTGCATGTTTTGCCAAGTTATAAATGTTCTTATTTCATGCATTATGGAGGAGTTGCTCTTCTTAACTTCTAATTTATTAGTTTAACTTGAGGAATGTTTATAATTATTCACAAAACATTATATTTACCATTTACGTAACTGATGGATTCTATTTATTATATATTTAAATGAATATGTTAAATCATTAAACCTTATGTTCCATATTGCACCAACTGTGACCTTTGCTGGTATCCATTCCCTGTACTAATTGCTGACATATTTATTGTTTCTGTATAGAAAGGCACCAATTAGACAGCAAATATATCGACGTCTTGATAATTTCCAACTTTAGAGAGATGTTTTTACTAGTGTGCTTTCAGATTATAATTGAATTTTCACTTGATCATTATTAAAGAAGCACAAGATGTCTGTCCATATTGAGAAGTATATGATCTTATGTAAAATGCAACTCTATGAATGAAGGGTAATGATGGTACCATTACCATGTTGCTTTCCACTTGGATGGTTATGAGGCTATCTTAGGCATGTGTTTATAATCTTGTTTCTAGTTCTTCATCTATTTTAGCATGTAAGGCGTGCCCTTTGGTGTTGCTGCTTCAATGATTTTTCCTTCTTTTTTCCATTATTTGGTTTAGCCAAACCCACTTGTAAGATTCTGATATGACTTTGTTATGTGCCTCTCAGTACCTTAGGGAATTGGATGATCTTAGATCGCAGCTTACAGCCACTCAAGCCACTGCTGATGCTAGTGCAGCATCAGCTCAGTCAGCCCAAGTACAGTTGTTAGCGTTGTTGAAAGAGTTGGACGAGAAGAATAGTTTATTGAAAGAGCATGAGGATCGTGTTACTAGGTTAGGAAAGCAACTAGATAATTTGCAGAAGGATCTTCAAGCAAGGGAATGCTCCCAAAAGCAGCTGCAAGATGAGGTTTTGAGAATTGAGCATGATATCATGCAAGCTGTTGCTAAGGCTGGAGCAAATAAGGACTGTGAGCTCAGGAAACTTTTGAATGGGGTTTCTCCCAACAATTTTGAAAAGATTAATAAACTTTTGACTGCCAAGGATGAAGAAATAGCCAAGCTGAAAGATGAAATCAGGATTATGTCAGCCCACTTCAAGCTCAAAACTAAAGAGTTGGAATCACAGGTACTTTTATGTATATGCATAAGTTGTCTTTGAAAAAACATCCTTTGAATTTTATTACCATTTCACCTTTTTTGTATATATATTATTTATAATTTTTTTATTTTTATGATTGTTTATCTGTTTTATGGAGCAGTTAGAGAAACAACGAAGGGCTGATCAGGAACTGAAAAAGAGAGTGTTGAAGTTGGAATTCTGTCTCCAGGAAGCTCGTTCTCAAACACGAAAACTCCAAAGGGTAATGTTAATATATTGCTTCATGCTTCATTCCTAAAGTATGGTTTTAGAGATTATCTGTTGCTGAAGTGCTGTTTCTAAATTATATGTTTGCTTTAGAACTGAAAATGTGCTCGGATTGCTAATTTGTTTAGATCACTTTTGAATTTGCACAAATTCTTGTGCTAAGCCAGTCATGATACGGAGCCAAGTTTTTTCACTATGGTGAGCTCATCCTTACTCATTTTGGCAGATGGGGGAGCGCAGGGACAAAGCACTAAAAGTGCTTAGAGATCAGCTGGCTGCAAAACAACAATCTGCAAGTGTTGGTACCGAGAAACAGAATTTCTGGGAAACCTCTTGTTTCAAGATTGTAGTCTCCATGTCGATGTTGATCTTGGTAGTGTTTTCAAAGCGGTGATTTCATTTAGCTGTGTAGGTAATGAGTATAATGAAAATACCTGAAGAGGATTTTAGGAAAGGCTATAGAACCATTGCCTTCGTGGAAAGAAAAGGCTTGTAGATGTAGTACATGAGTCTGTTTCCCAGAATCAGTCGAAATGCCCGTCCGTCCTCATTGTGAAGGAGATTTGAGGTGACATTAGTGTAATAGCAACATGCATCACAATTTTTTCTTCCTTTCCCATAATGGATTTTATTAGCTGTACCGAGCACCAAGATGACAAAACATTTACCAATTCTGTGTTGTCGACTTTACGTACAAGGATGGACCGAAGGGAACTGGCCTTTAAAATTTTAATTTTTTTTCTATATTGTAGATATTTTTTTGTAATTTTTATTAACAATATATTTTTATCATATATCTAAAATTTTATACGTCTGCCCTTGAAATATTTTAAGTTCTTCTAACATAAAATCATGCTTGTACATATTTACATACGAATTGTAGGAACTAACCCCCGAAATCTACCTTGATAAAATACCTCTAATATACATTATTTATCCTTTATGTTTGGTCACACAGCAGGGTAATATATACATGTTTTTATAGAACAGACCATAAGCTTGAAATTTTAGACGAGCACAGCTTAAATGGGCAGGTATGTAGTTGAGGCTAGTTTAGTTGGACAATCAAATCATTTTTTTAATAGTTTGTGTGATTGTAAGTAATATATGTTCAATTTTTTTTAACAAATTGACAATGTACACACCCTGCAAAAGTTACTATTCGAACCCAAGACTTCTAGGATGAATATTTCTTTTTATTTCTCATCTATTATTTAATTTTGATGAATCCAGCTGCACACATGGATGATAGTAGTAGCAATACTTATTATATAGCTGGGCATATATTAATACAATACATATGGACAATACATTTCCCATTACCAAGTAGCCTGCCTATCATGGCAGAGCAGTCGTGTGAGTTGAATGAAAGATTCAAAGCCTCATTAACTAATGCCCCAGGACCAGGCTATCCATTTCCCATTACAAACTAGTACCAAACACAATATTTGGAATCATCCCGTATATCCATATCCATCCTAAATTCGACTTCAAAAGCATTAATTATCCACAAGCAAATCGCCGAAGAAGCTATCGAAAATAGCTTCTTTAGCTGAATCATATTTGTCCAGACGCTTTTTCAGGGACCTCATGTCTCTTTCATTCTTTGAAGAACGTACCTGCCTCACAATTTTTGTTAAAAGAAACACAACCCATTATACAAGCCTTGATGGACAACTATATCTAATAATCAACCAAGTAAAAAGCAATGATCGGCAACATTTTTTGTAGAGTTATTATAGGACGAAAATCACTTACATATGTTTTCTTCAGCTGCAGTATATCCACCAAGTATATCAACCATAACACATTTGTTCTGGGAAAACTGTGCAACAACAACAATCAACTATGAGAAACATGTGGTTTAATGAAAGAGACCAAAACCTTTAAGACAGAAAAACTGACCAAAACAGAAAAGTAGAAATGCCTCAATTGTTTTTTTTTGGCAGCTTTGTGGATCTCATTCTTCCCTATTAATTTACTAGAACAATTACCAGTTAGGAACAAAATCACTACTACTACAGATAGCAACTGCAAAACCAAGAAATCGAACAAAGGTTTTACAAAAAGAACATGATCTAAGCAAAAATTTCAGTGCCGCAGTTGGATCCAGTTGATTAATATCAAGGTTCAATACATGAAGTTATAATAAGGTGGGTAGTAAGACAATTCAAGGCTTGAATTGATGAAACAGCAAAAGTGGCTCGTTCTCATATGTGAATAGATTGGAAAAGTACCTTCCTTCCCAGTGATCTTCTGTAACCTCCTTCATTTTTCTATATGTTTCTGACTGCATTTCATAATTAGTTTAGCAAGATTAGATGTGAATACGTTTTGTACGTAATTATGAACCAAAATTCACAGCTTGTTTCTGTTTCTTACTTGTTTATCTCCTTTTGGACCTTTAAAAAGATAAGGGTCCTGTGACAGATCCAGAAAGAGTATTTTTTTCTCCTGTATACCAAAGCCATTAGAAATTTTTTTCACATAAAATTTCTGACGTAGCAAAGTTTTGAAAAGGAATAAAAGAAAGAAGCAAACTTCACCAGTGTTTAATCTCGACAGTGTAAAATCAATTATTGACACTGATATCCCATATGTCCTGAAGGATATTTGTTTGCCCTCTAGCATAAACTTCATAGTGACAGAATCTTTTCGGCTCAAAAGTATGTTTCCCCTATAAAAAAAAGGAGAAAAAATTGATCAGCAATCATAATCAAGACACGAATTTACCATAAAAAAAGTGACAGCAAGCGGACCAATGCAAGTCACGGTGTTCAAACTCATATGCAGCTTCAGCCACAGCTAGGGCAGCCGTAACCTACACGACAATTGATAAGTTCACTCTGCGCTGGTAATAACAGAAAAAATAATCCATGAAACGAGACATGATCTTTTTAACTAGAAAATCACTTTTCAAATTTGTTTGAATAATTTTTTATCACAAGTCTCATTGATTTACCTGAACCAATAAACTTCGTGCTTCATCAAAATTCTCAATTACAAAGCTTTCAAGATCTTTACCACCATGTTGTAGAACAAATACGAGATAACGCTGAAGGCAAGTGCATCAGGATCAGCAAAAGAGTATTGGTAAACAAAAAGTATTTGTACTTTGGGAGTTTCCTTTACGTGCAGTATTCATAAAGTATATATTTATAACTTTCTTGCATACACATATTCATCAGGAAGAAGAGGGTACCTGTTTCTCTGGGAACTCTTTGGGGTGATCATTTTCTGAGCCATTCTTTTCATCCCATTTTTCCCAAGCTCTAACCAACGCCGCATCATACAAACCTTGGCAGACCTTTAAACTATCAAAGAAAGAGATCAATAAGAGATGATCTGAATAATAAGTCATCAGATAGGAAGAACAAATTTCGACCGGGTTACAAAACACGTAATTACAAAATTGAAAGTGCACAACCAGTCATACATTATTAGACACATTTCATGAACTGTGACTTTCTCTTGAGCATGACCCTAAAAAGCCAAGTAAGAATGAAAACTGCTTCTAATTTAAATGTTTGCTTATGGTTATCAGAAGTTAAGTTACAAAGAATGATACAGAAAATTGTGATGTGGAAAACATACTCAATTGTTTCTATAAAGGTCGTGCAAGCATTAAAATCATCTTTCTCAATTTCTCGTAAACTGTTAAGAGCTTTAGAAAGCACAGCCTCCTCAAGCAATTCTTCCGATTTCTGTAGCACAAAAAAGAATACTGATTAGTGATGAGACAAGCAAGTCATGAATTCATATTAAAAAAAAGTCTTCATGTAAAAGAATAATTTAACCAGCAAGCTACTTAAAGAAAAGTTAATTTCATTAGAATCAATACCTTTTGCACTTCTCCATTTACTGGGAAATCCCCATCAAACGGAACTATTTTGCACACCCTATTGCCTGCTCTGAAGGCTTCTCCGTAAGTACCTTCACCAACTTTAGCAATACTTTCTGGAGCACTGAATCAAGAAGATTTCACCATAATCAACCCGAGCAGTATACATTATCAACTATTTAGTGCAGAGAGGAATAGAAGAACAATGAAATGAGCTAAACACCATTGGAACTAACAGGTCCACGAAGATCACTGAAACCCTTGAACACAGAAATATGCATTCCTAATTTCTCAAAAAAAGAACAGCATATTTTATGATAACACAACAGAGTCAATACTAAATAGCAGATAAAGCAGGACGCTTCAGCAATGTGGTTAAGTCAGATGAACACAACCTATCATCGCAATGGCTCACCCTCCACTTGCACAGAAAACCACATAAATAAATTATGTGCAGTTTTCTTCAAGGGGAAAAAGAAAACAATTAATTCAAGAGAGACTAACCAATACTTAGAGAAAAAATCAAGAAACTGTAGCGGTGCTGACTGTTCACAGATTCCCAGTAAACCAGTAAATGGATCAATACGATCAAGATGTGATGATGTTGTTGTAGATGCCAAGGAAAATTTCCCAATGGAAGCATTTATATCTTCACAACCTTGGTCGCCATCACTTGCACTTATATCTTCACAAACTTGATCACCATCACTAATGGATATCGGACTGCACTTTTCAGGAGTTTTCACAATTGAAAAATCCATATCATCGGTATATATGTCATCTATTGGAGCAGCAGGAGTTTCCAATATTTTAGAAAAAGTGGAAGAAGGCCCACAACTGAAGTTTATCTTCTTCGACAAGAGCCACTTCTCTAATCTGGATGAAATATGTGGTATTGAATAAGGGACAGTTTGATTGCCCGTTGCCCATGTCCCAAAGTGTTTTGGTGATGGGCTCTCTTCCAATAACTCAAAGGCATCAACCTCTCTGGAGACACTAGATTGGTTTTGCACATTAGTAGTTGTGCAGCAACAGATGAAATGAAGGAAACAAAGTTAGACTTGAGATTGTATATGATGATATAGGCAATAGAAGGTCTGTCAGTCATACTTTGGGAACAGGTGGTTTTCCCCTTCTCCTGGGCTGCTTTTGTTGCGGTTCATTGGCCACGCAAGGAGCAACAGCAACGCTTGTCCTCCCTCTGAATGAAGCAGAAATATGAGATACATTAAAACCCAACATGACAAAGCAAATGAAAACGCATTTGAAGATTGTTGAGCAAACACCGAAACAAAAGAAAAGAGGGGGGGGGGGACCCGGATCATTAAACAAGCAGCATAAACAAGAAAACATTAAATTGTAGTACGGGCAGCAGCACAATAAGGCGTGATCTCTTATCCTATTCCTTGGTTATATAAAAATGGGGAAATGGAAAAGAAAGAAGGAACCTGGTGGAAAGCGAACGATTCCAACTGACCCGCTTGGTGTTAGCAGCGGCGACGAAACTGACGCGACTTCCGTTAGAGGGTTGCGGCAGCAGCTGGTGGTCTGAGTCAGTGGGGGTAGGGAGAGACGGTTGACGTCTTCTCTGATAGATGGGTTGGACTGTAGATTGCTGGTGTTGTTCCGGTGCCCCTGTGATTTCTGCCCACACATCAACGATCCCTCCCGCTCTTGTCCTTGCTTCTGCTTTGAGGTTCATCATTAAATCGTCTTAGTTAGATAAGCAGACTGAGATCGGTGAGAGAAGGAAAAGACACTGATTGATTTGAATATGCAGGGAGGCGGGAATGGGCCATGTCATTTGTACTATGGGCTTTGTTCCTGCGCAACCCAACGACTTTAAAGATAAAAAACAATGGCCCATATATTGTTTCTAATCTTAGGGTTTGTTTGATAAAAAAATATTTTAATTTTTTTATGTACTCTACCCAAGGATTTTTCGGGAAATTTGTCATCGAAGTGTTTTTCGAATATAATTAAAACTTTTATAATTATTATATATATTAAAATTCTTAGAATAAAAAGAAAAAAAATACATGACAAACAGGAAGTTTGGTATGAGATTTGAAGTGTTTGACATTGCTGTTAAGATGTATTTTTAAAATGATAAATGAGTATTTTAGATATATTGTTGAAAATTAAAAAAATAAATTTAAATGATATTTAAATTTTTAATATTTTAATATATATATATATATATCTAAATTGTGATATATTTTTTAATAAAAATAATTTATAATGATTTATTCATTATACGTGTTTCATGAAAGTATATAAAATTTAAAATAATTTTATCTAAAAAATTAGCACGAAAGCGTCATAAAACATTTAAACATATACATAACTTTTAATTATATAATGATGTCTTCCTGAAAAATTATAAATTTATAAACTATAAAAAATGGAAATTATATTTTTACTTTAAAAGTATATTGTTTGATAAAAAAGTTTAAAATTTCAAATTTTTATCTAAATTAAAAAATAGAGTATTTTAAATAATCAATGGAGACTATAAGATAATATATATTTAATTTTTTTAATTAATATATAAATTTAATTTAGTAAATTTAAAACTCTTTACGACAGTTACCAAAATTGTTCATTTTATGAGACAGTTCAGGAGTTACAAGCAAATAGACAGAATTTTTGGAGTAATGGTGGTGGTCTTCACAACCATCTTATCGCCTTTTGTTCTCATTTTTAGTTATTTCCTTTTACTTTTACTAATTTTCAATTTTAGTTTCATTGTTTAATATTAATGTTTTCTTGACCCTTTTTCTATTAAAGTGTATCTTGACTATCGTTATTTGTGGATTTTCAGTGCAGGTTTGTTTATTAGTTTTTCTTCTTGGTTTGTATTTCAACATAAATTTTTTTTAAGGGGAGGTCGTCTTCTCCGTTTGTTGTTTTTGATATTCTTCAAGTTTTTTTCTTCTATGGTTGGTGCTCGGAGCCGTTGGTACGATCAATTTATATACACCGTTGCTTCATTTCTTGATATTTTTTCTTATCAAACTATCATTACGCGATCATCGTAAGATTTATGATAATCTCGAGTGTGTTTGTTCAGTATGTGATTAACAATACGTTGTTGATACAGTTTTCGATAAATAAATATTTCCTTGTATCATTTTCAAAAAAAACTTTCTTAATTAATTAATAACATGTATCCTTTATTTCCCAAAAAAAAACACACATCCAACAAACATAGGTACTCGAACTTAAAATCACAACATTCCTTTTTATCATGGTCTCAATACGAGTATATTTAAGTTTTATGGTAAAATACACAGATGATATAATGACTATATGATAATGATTTGTTGAGTCCCTCAACTATTAAAAATTATAAGATAGTCATTTGATTATAGGAAGTTACTTTGTTGAGTCTCTTGACCTTTAAAAGTTACAAAATAGTCACCCCATTATTCATTGTGTTCCAAACTCATATTTTTTGTTAAAATTTTAACAACAGACTACATTAGATGTTAACTTACTTAATGAGATATAATAAAACTCGATCTCAATCTTAAATGACTATCATATCTCATTCAACATGTTAACGTCCAGCTTAAACAACCGTTAACTTTTAACAAAATGATAAGTTTGGTACATAATGAATAGTCGGGAGATCATTTTATAACTTTTCAACAAATCAACTCCATAAAACTAAAAGATTATTTTATAATTTTTAATAATCAAAGGATTCAACAAAACAATATCTTATAGTCGAAATCATTTTTATACTTTACCCTAAGTTTTAAATATATCTGTTTTGATATCGCTTTGTTTGTTTGATTAGATTAGATTAGATTAGATTAAATTTCAACAGTCAAAATCAAATAAAAATTATTAAAAATAAAATTAATTATAACTATAAAATTGAAGTAATTAAAAGAAAGAAAGAAAAAAACTAAGAGGCCAAATATTCTATCGTCATCATCACCATCACCACCATCATGTAACAATAAAGACTAATAATTTCCTGTACTTGTCTCTCCTTTTCTCTTTCTCCCTCATTAAACGCATTCGCCCTCGCGTCGCCTTCCGCCACCCATTTTTTCTTCTCTGTTATCTGTTTCTAAATATCGGTACATCATCTTCTTATTTTCCCTTTCTATTTTTCTAATGTACTTGTTGCCTTTCTGTCTTCATTCACCCCCCCCAAAAAAAAAAACTCGTTTGGGTCGGATGCCATCTTTTTTGGTGATCATCATCTGATTTTGATCTGCAGTTCCTTTTCTAATTATGTATATGAAGCATTAGATACCTCTCTGTCTGAATTTAACATTCGATATCTTTTTTTGGTAACTTTTTTAGAACACATTTTTCTTTTGATTATTGGTGAGGAGATGATTGAGAGATGGGTCTTTAATTATCTATCATTTATCCTGTATTTATAGGGATTAAGTATTTAAGTGGAAATAATTTTCTTCGTTGTTGATGTAAATTTTATTGTTAAGTCCTTGATGATGAAATGTATTCACACCTATAAATCATTTTATGCTTTTTTTATGGGGTCTTTTAGTTTGTTAAGCTGGGTTAGCTTCTTTTTACTTAATGAAGAACATTTTACACATTAAAGACATCAATAGCCTGGATATTGAGATTTCCTGCAATATAATATAAAATATCTGTGCTTTGATTGACTGAAATCTGTTGTTAGTTTCTTTTGCTTTTGTTTTTCAAAATAAAGAGTATCTGTTGATATTTTATTTTTTGGTTTTGAGTCTTTTGACTGGTTAAGAATTTTGCCAAGCTTGAACTGCTATATTTGTTTAAAGCGTTTAGTTTCCCTTGATTGTTTATAATGTAAGTTTGTTTGCAGTTAATACAGGTTGTAGAAAATTATGGAAATTGTTACCAATAATGTCTCATCGAGTTTATTAACATTTTTCTTTCCCTTTTTGTGTTGTAGATAATTGGTTGGCTTTTTAGTAGGAGGAAATAGGATTTGGACAATCTTTGTGCTGCAGATAGCGTCCATTGGCATGGCGCCTGCATCTGGTTAAAGAGAATCTAGTGCTGCTGGTGTTGACAAGTTACCGGAGGAGATGCATGACATGAAAATTAGAGAAGACAAAGTTAGCATTCCTTTGTTTGACTGTTTCTTTTTTACCATTACGGTTCCCTGCAGTTTGCATTTTTTTCCTCTTTGATTACTTTAACACCACCACATTTGCAACTAATTTCATTGAACAAAAGCAGCTGTAACTCATTGATCATCTTTAATTTGAAGGAAATGGAAGCAACATTTGTGGATGGTAATGGAACAGAGAAAGGGCATATAATTGTGACAACTATAGGTGGTAGAAATGGTCAGCCAAAACAGGTACATTCTTTTCTCTCTTGTGTGAGATTGTCATTGTTATGAGTGAGCCAGTACAAGTTTTTAGTATTTTTACCCCATTTTCTTCTAGTATAACACTATCTGTTCAAAATTCCAGACTATAAGTTACATGGTTGAACATGTGGTTGGACATGGATCCTTCGGAGTTGTTTTCCAGGTAAAAGCCCTCTTGTTCATTTGTTTCTGTAAGGTGGAAAAGAATTCTTATTTTTGTATATTTGTAAAATAAGTTCTTTTAAAATTTAGGCAAAGTGCTTAGAGACTGGTGAAAGTGTTGCTATAAAGAAGGTTCTTCAAGATAAGAGATACAAGAATCGTGAGTTACAAACAATGCGTCTTCTTGACCACCCAAATGTTGTAGCTTTGAAGCATTGTTTTTTTTTCAACAACTGAAAAGGATGAACTTTATCTTAATTTGGTACTCGAGTATGTACCTGAAACTGTTCATCGTGTGATCAAGCACTATAACAAGTTGAACCAAAGGATGCCATTGATATATGTGAAACTTTACACGTACCAGGTAAAGTGTTTGGTTTTTCAAAATTTGGTTCCTCCTGTGTTTTAAAAATGAAGCTTGGTTGAGATGCTAATAAAGGTCGATGCTTGCAGATATTTAGAGGACTGTCTTACATCCATCGCTGCATTGGTGTGTCATCGGGACATTAAACATCAAAACATTTTGGTATGTTAAAATATCTGTTTTGTCTGGGATATGATATCTCGTTGTTGGTCGAGTATAGTAGTACTGTTTCTTTATCTGCACCATGAATGAAACATGTCAAGTCTCTTTGTTATATCTCATACCTGCTAACTCAGTGATCCTATGGATGTGCTTTTGTTTCCTTTCTTCCTGCAGGTAAATCCACATACTCATCTGGTTAAACTATGTGATTTTGAAAGTGCAAAAGTCTTGGTAGGTTGGAATTTCTTTCAACTTTTACTTCTTTGTTAAAGTATCAATCTTTGATTTTTGTTTAGGTCTTACACTTTTAAACTTTCTTTTCTTGGCAACTGAAAGGGGAACCGAACATATCCTACATTTGCTCAAGGTATTATAGAGCACCTGAGCTAATTTTTGGGGCAACTGAGTACACTACAGCTATTGACATCTGGTCCGCTGGCTGTGTCCTTGCTGAGCTTTTACTTGGGCAGGTAAGAAGCTTGATCAAATGAGGTTCATTATTGTAGTTGTTGTATTGAATTGTCCTTGGTGTGTTGTACTAAGGCTTTTTCACTTGCCAGCCTTTGTTTCCCGGTGAGAGTGGAGTAGACCAGCTTGTAGAGATTATTAAGTTATTTTGATTCTGACTAATTTATTAGTTAGTACGATGCACGTATACGTATACATAGACATGTATGCACATAAGCATATATCTGTACCTTTTCAAGTGTCTTTTCTTTGTTGATTACATTGACGGGATGAAATTTATTTTTCTGCATGGAAATTGACATAGTTATCATTATTCCTACTAGTTCTTTTCTTAACCATAACATTATTAAGTCCATGTGTTCCTTTTGAATATGTTGTTTGTAGGTGTACTTGTGCTTTAAGAACTTTGGTTGTAGTTCTCTGTCATATATCATTATGGTATTAGAATAGCATGTTCTCCTCGTATTGAATGTCAAATTGACTATTTCTCTTTAACCGTTATGACTAATCATTGTTTTCCATAGGTATTGGGAACTCCAACACGAGAAGAAATTAAGTGCATGAACCCTAACTATACAGAGTTCAAATTCCCTCAGATTATGGCTCACCCATTGCACAAGGTATTAACAATCAGGAAAAAAAAGGGCGTGTCAATAATCTGTTGATTTGGTGTCAAGACTTTTGCAATATTCTCCTAATCTCGGTTGCAGTGCTGTGAGTTTATAAAATCTTTATATTTAAATATCTATTATGCTTTATCTTTTTCATTTAGTGCTTTTCCTTCAAGCTGCCCTGTGCATGATCTTGGGGTAAGCTTGAAGCTTGAGGTTCCTTCCTGATTAAAAAGTGGGAAATGAAAAATCTCTGTAGAAAACGAAGCTTATTATTTAAAAATTCAGTAACCATCTGGGTTGGTATTAAATAATGAAACAAAAAAGAGAAAGGTTAAAGTGTTTCTCTGTTGTTTACTTGTTTTGTTTTGGCGTGGGGAGATGGTAGAATAGAAGAGCTAAAACATTGTGGTCCTAAAAGTCTTCGGTTTGTTTCACACATCTCATGTCGTAAAATGGTATTGTGTTGCAGTTAGATGCCTTGGTCCATCCTTTCTTTGACGAGCTGCGTGATCCAGATGTCCGCTTGCTAAGGGTCGTTTCCTTCCGCCATCATTTAACTTTAAACCTCATGGTAAGAGCATTTTTGTTTATAACAGGGGTTATTGAATGTTGTAGAGATATAGAGGGATGGCTGGTTGTTTGTGTTGTCCACCAGAACTGAAGGGTGTTCAAGTAGAGGCTCTGGTGAAATTGATTCCGGAGCATGCAAGAAAGCAATGTCCAAATCTTGGTTTGTAATTGAATGCAAAATGTAACAGAGCAGCTGAGAAAGTGTATTATCATCTTATGTAAGCAATTTATTTTTTATGTATGTCTGTGTTATATGTAAAAGAAGAGATTTAGAAAATACTAATAATGTAAAAGCAGATGGTTTGGGAATTAAAATTTAGGAGTTTCTCTTTTTAATATTTTTTATTTAACTTAGATTTCATTTTCGTTTACATTGTAGCCCGATTATGATATTAAAAAAAATTATATTTTTTTAATAATATAAGATTATTATATGGTAGTATTTATTAAAAATTTATTTTAATTATTAATAACTCACGAATATTCGTAGACATTATTTAAACTCATAATATTACAATACTATTTTAATCGATGTGTGGGTGCGTCGGCAATTGTGAAAATAATTGAAGGTTTGGGATTGTGATAGCGAAGCCAAAGAGTGTTTGAAGCGATGCAAATATTTAATGATGAAATGATTAAAATATAAATAATTTAAAAGATTAATAATTAAATTGAAAATATTTAAATTTCACTTATCAAAATAAGAGTGAAGTTGTAATTGAGTGACGAAATTTTGCACTTCTCTTTAAGAAATATGTATGGATCTGCTAGATTGAAACAATGCAATGCAAGGTAAGAAGGGGAAGGCGAAAGCTTCTTTCTTCTTCTACCAAGGCTTCTTTGTAGCAGCGTCAGCAATCATCGGAGTGAAGAACATCCTACTATAAATAATAGCAGTATATTGAACAAGTGGTAGAAGAGAGAAGAAAAGGGAGAAAGGAATGCCGATAGGGAAGTACTACTGCGACTACTGCGATAAGCAGTTCCAAGACACCCCAGCTGCTCGAAAACGCCACCTGCAGGGCCTCCAACACCTCCGTGCCAAAGCCCAATGGTTCCACTCCCTCAACGCCCCCGGTAGGTACTCCTTTTACACTCTCTTTGTCTCTCTCTCTCTCTCTTTTCTCTTTTCCCTGCACTTTGTGAGTGCAGATCTCTATCAAAGTTCATCGCAACCCTTTTCAAAAGGCGTCTGCAATCGCTTCCTCAAAACGGTAATTAACCATCCCTCTCTTCTGGTAATTCCATTTTTTTGTTACTTCAATTATAATATCTAATTGCACTCGTTTCTTTTCCCCCTTCTTCTAGGGATTTTGCCATTTCGGAGATAACTGCAAATATTTCCATCCCAACAACGATTCCCGGGGACCTATTCCTCAACCTGCACCAGGTCTTTTCATTCTCAGGCCATATTTATTTGGGTGGACTACCTATTTAATCATTCACTAGTTTATGTTTTTGATGGTCTAATTATTATTTTTTTAAAAATTATATCTAATATTACTCTCGTCGCTAACTTTACGCACAACATTAGAAAATAATATAAAATATAATGTTAGCACGACCGTCAATTTTTCTAATGATATATTATATTATATTATATTATAGGTGGTGTGGAGGGGACTGGTAATGGCATGACAATGTCGTGGGGAAATCTGCCACCATCCTTGCAGCCTCCTCCGGAGTCTGGTTATCCATCGCTTCCCTTTGTGGATTGGGGTTAAAACTTAAAACTACTCTACATGCTATGTTTTTTAGACGCCAATTCTGTCGTATGCTGCTATATCTTCTTCATTGTTTAAGCTATAATGTCTTTGTTTTATGCCAATGTTAATACATGTTGAATAAAACACTCAGTTTCTGTTTCCTTTTATTTCTTTTTTTGCATCCCATTGGCCTTCTTTCTGTAATAGAAACAAAGCTGGAATCTATTCACGTATCAACATTCTAATTTTCAAGCATAAGAGGAACACGTATTTGGAAAAATAAGTTAAATGCATAAGATGTATCTGCCGAAATACAATTTCTTTCCATATGCATAAACGCGTCGTCTGTTTAATAAATAAGCATGCATCCATCCCTCACAACATGATCCATAACAGTACAACAGTGTCGATTCTTGGAAAAGAAGATGGGTTGATACACTATGTTACTAACAGAGTGAACCAAGTACCTCCAACAAGGAGGCTGCGAATTTCATTTGGGTCTCTTCGTCTATGATCAAGAAGAGAGGGACATGGACAAAGAGGGATTTGATCCCATTCTGCTCTGCAAAGTGAAGGGAGTGGTAATACACATAATTACACACAAACCGTCCGGCATCATCCGATGTCATCACCTCATATCCCTTCTTTGCTAATGCCTTCGTGATCTCTTCAACAGGAAGAGAAGTCTGCAGAAACGTAACAGAAGGAACTCTTTAATGATGATGGAAAATACTACAGTATCATATGAGATTTCCATGCCTTGCAAGAAAACTTATACTTTAGGGACAACAATACTACCTTACGTACACGTGAAATTCCACCATCTGCAGGCACAATGGGTACTCTCTGCAAACAATATAAAAGTTTAACAAAAGGATGAAAGTTTGAGGGAAAGAGGGAGAGGCATGACATATTGCATATGCACCATGAAAGGGGCAATGGGATATATCTAACCTGAGGTTTCCATCCCATCTCGTCAGGGCAACGGAAAGTAGCTTCATTTACAGCTTGATGCTCAATAGCAAATCTGCAGGCACCACTATTGACTCCAAAATGCACCTGAAGAAATATTGTCAGAATGGACAAGTAACATTAGGCTTGAATTTGTAAGGATTGCATCGAAGACAAGTTATCAAGATAAATGTCTGTTGGCAAACTCCCCTCATACACATTGCATCAAAATTGGGCCCGGTTATCTCAACTGAGCTCTCTTCATGCATTTAAGATGGAAAAGAAGATGGCAGTAAAAATGGTTGATCTCAGATTTATCAGATCGACTAATCACATGCTCCCGAACATGCAGTTTCAATGTGGATTCAAGATGGCACTTTAAATGAGATTTTACAGTTATTCGCTACATTTGCGGAGAATAAAGGGAATGCAGGGTAGCTTGTTAGAGTTATTGCATAGAGCAGTTAGTTAAAAAGGCCTCCTCCCTAGTTATCTAAAAGCCAGAAGAATTATTTGATGATTCATTTCTGCAAATGTGCTTGGAACAAGAGAATTCCAGCACCGTCACCGGGACGCACTTTCTTCTTTCCGGTTTTTACTAATGTAAACATGAAGTTGGTATGCATGCGTGAAACTAAGCAATTATAACATAGTAGAAAGTGAAAGCCGAGTAACTAACCCAAATAATTTTCTCAGAACATGAAGATTGAGAATCCTTCCCTGTTAAGGCAGATTGCAATGTCTGATACAGTGGAGTGAGAGCTCCTTGTCCAGCAGTCTCAAGAACACTACAACTGCCAAGGATAACGCCTTTCGGTAAACCTTTCTTTCTTGTATACTCTTTTAGATTACTAACAATGGTTTCGGTTGGGTTCTCGGAAACTCCATGAAATTTCTTAAAACCAGTCACATGGATGGTTACCGCTGCTGGCCCTTCGGAACCCATCAATCAACAATTCATATGATACTGACGAAGTCTTATCCCCCAAGAAAACCGATATAGTTATATAAGTACCTGCATGAAGCACAAGAGAAGTAAACCAACAAGCTCTACAAGGAACTTACAAAACCAGACGAAAGCAGAATATATGACCTCGTCCCGGTTTCAAGATCGAGAACATTCATGGTTAACAAATTTACACTTCATTACTCCTAACTTCGTGCAGATCCTATATAATTCTCAGTAAAGAGTATATTCTAATTACAAATTACCAAAGGATGGTACTGGTAAGGAAATGAGAGCCAGAGTTTTAGCTTCAAGAAGTTGAACCTATCAACTAGCTTCAAGATGTTGAACCTATCAACTAGCTTCAAGATGTTGAACCTATCAACTAGCCTTATAAACTATGAATACATTGAGACAATAAACTTCTGATGATTAATACATTCCTTTTAGTTTTCCAGAAGATAATACTTCATAAAAGCTTCAAAAACCGTACATATTTACAAAGACTTATAGCAATTAGATAAAAGAAGAAGAGAGACTTCATAAATCTGCAGAAAGGAAGCAGCTAAGAGACAAAGTTGTAAGATCAAATTGGGAGAGCTAAAGAACATAATGATCCAGTTTCCGAAACCATAAAATGAACAATCTAGAATCAGTTAATCTGATCTAAGACCAATCAAATTAAGAATCCCAGAAATAATCACAATCCATGCCAAAAAAGCGAAGCCAAGATAGAAATCAAATACCGAAAGTGACAAAGACGTGAAAAGAAAACCCAGAAATATACCTGGAAAGCTAAGGCAAGAAGAAGAACAAGAATAAGATTATATGCTTTGGTCACCTGTAGTGTTTGACGGGAAAAAGAAATGAGAAGTCACAGCCAAACAGTCTATCTAATCTAAAGTTGATTTAAACAAATACGAAAGCTAATCTGCTAATGATTCCCACAAAGAAGAAGAAAACAAGTTGCAGTGTTAATGTATATCATATTTGTATCTGTCAGTTTCGTTGAAGGTGGGTGGGGTTGGGACAGTGATGGACTTTGATAGTATTAAATTTTGAGAGATAAATTATAAAACTATAATAGATTTAATTTAATTATCAAATTTTAATTTTATTAATTAAAATTTTTAATTACTTAAATGATAATTGGGATATATGTCATTAATATTTGATAAATGATTTGATATGATAGTTAATAAAATTAGTATAATTATATATTTATAAATCTTATTAATTGTTTTAGTTTTTAATTCAATAATTTTTTATAAATTATTACGTAGATTTTGTACCGAATTCGTTCTAATTAATGTGGAGTTGGGTATAAGTTAGTGTTTAACGAGTGAGTGTAGATATAAAAAATCATACTCGTCATGAATAATAGATAGGTGATGAGTTTAAGACTTTACCTGTTTCGCATCTGTTCGTCCAGTGACTACACTCCATATAAAATTTAGACCATTATAAATTTAAATATAAATTCACAAACTATTTTGTAAATTATAAGAAACGACTTGTAATTTAACCAACTATCAAGCTTATGTAATATGTGAGGTTGGTGTTAGGTAAATACAAGAGGTACATAAAGGGTGGTGAGTATCTAGTCGGGTAGTAGGTGTGAATTTAAAAATTTTATTCATCGTGGGTAGTAGATAAATGATAGATACGAAAATATTATCTAACTCGCCTGTTTGTCATCTCTACTCATTTCATTATTATATAATATATATATATATATAATTCTACTATATTATCTATTTTTTTTATAAAATATCATTTATTTTTGTTTATAATTTATATTTCTTTTAATATTATAAAAATATAAATTTATTAAATAATTTTGATAATAAAATAAAATATTATTGTTTTTAAAAAATTAAATTTAAACAGTTACATCAAACATCTATATTACCAATAATTAAAATAAATAATATTAAAATATTATTATATTATTTCTTATTAATCGATCCATTGATTGGTTCTTGTTTAGTTTTAGGCAAATGAAAGGATGGGTCTAGTAATTTTAAGCCCAAGCCTCCGCTGGCCCTAACCTGAAATCTTCCTAATAAATCAAATCCCGTTGCTCTTATGTAATTATTCCCCTTCATTTGATTGCAGGTCTCTACACTTTTTCGTCAATCTATTGCCATGTACTGTACAAATCTCTTTCCTCTTCCTTTTGCTTCTGCATCTTATTTCCAATTTATCTGTTGTTTATCTGTTCCCTTTACATTTGCTTTTTTGTTTAGATTTATGTGTATCTATTAATAAAAGTCATTTTCACGTTGATTTCTGCTGATGGTTCTTTTGTTATTTTATCCCAGATCCAGATCTGGATCTGGGTTTTATTAGATCTACTTATATTTCCTCCCGGATCTTAATTTCTGTGAAATATAGTATGCTTCTACCATTAGATTTCATATTGAATCTACTTTTTTTTTTTGCTTAATTAGTGCTTTTTTCATTTCGTTTTACATGTTATTGTGTTCTAGTTGATTCGGATCATGTGTTGAAAATGTCCTTACCTCTTTAAATAAATTGTTCCTAATGTTATCCATCGATTCGATATAGGGCAATTACATACATCTGTCTTGTATAAATGGGGGATGGCTTATATTATATTTTACCAATTATATATCAAATGATTTTTTTTGTTCTTTTTTCCGTTGTACTAATTGATGAATAAGCTGGGGCGGACATTCTCTTATGTTCCTTTATTTTCCCTTCAGCCAGAATAGAAGGATGGGTCTTTCTTTTGCTAAGTTGTTCAGTCGCCTGTTTGCCAAGAAAGAGATGCGAATTCTTATGGTGGGTCTTGATGCTGCTGGTAAGACCACCATATTGTACAAGCTGAAGCTCGGGGAGATTGTCACCACCATTCCCACAATTGGTATCCTCTCATTGCTAACTCTTCTGCAAGTATTTTGCTATCGTCTGTTTATAGATATTGATGCTTATTGCTATCTCACCCAGGGTTTAATGTGGAGACTGTTGAATATAAGAACATTAGCTTCACTGTTTGGGATGTTGGTGGTCAGGACAAGGTAATGCAACCGGAACTAAAAAAATGTTGAAGATTCAACTACAAATAATTAGCGATTTACCATTTATTGTTTTCCTGGGTCTTACTGCTTGATGGAACATGATATTTTGCCATGTTATTCAACTGTACAATCATGTTGATGTTTCAACTGACGGATGTGTTTGTGGACAGTCTTATGCTGATGGCATAATCCATAACCAGCATATAAGATAACCGGAAGCCACATCTACTAATGACACCTTGTCTTTCTAGTTTTTCATTTGGTGGTATGAGAAGAGGCTTTCCATGTTGTGGCTGACACATTATTTGACTTCTTGCCTTTATTGTGATATCTTGATTTATTGAGCATATTCATACAAAGCTTTGGTTTTTTTCCCTTCATAAATATGTTGTTTGCTATAGCAGGTGCTTTATAATTGCAGATGATGAATTTGAGTGCTTATTGACGGTCTTGTGCTAGCTAGATGTTTCCCGTTAGCACATAACATTATCATAAGCTATATTTACCTGTGCTATCTTGTCTTTCAAGTTTTCCCTCTGGCTATAAGGGGAAGGCTATCTGCATCATGGCATATATAAAAAAATGTTTATGTAGTTTATATAAATTATTATCCGTATTCATTCAGACTTGTTTAGAACTAACAGCAGTGGTAATGAAAGTTCTTTTCTTTTTTAATTACCTGGTATTGACACTGTTGCTGATTTTCTGAACTGTGCAAATTGTGGTGAATGCCAAGTTAATTTGTCTTTTGCTTCAATTTTATATTCAATATATAGTGCAACCACCACTATTTCTTCAATGCAATTGAGTTTGATTTTTTTTCCTGAGAATTGTTGCTTGCTTTTCTGTGGTAGATGTGTTTACCCATTCTTCAAATTTAGAGTGAAATGTCTGGAGTTTGATGGCATGCTAATTTCTGGTCGCTTTTATGGCTACTTTCAGATCCGACCTTTGTGGAGGCACTACTTCCAAAATACCCAGGGGCTAATATTTGTTGTTGATAGCAATGATCGTGATCGTGTGGTCGAGGCCAGGGATGAGCTTCACCGTATGCTAAATGAGGTGCTGGTTTGCTTCTTTGCTCTCTTATTAGTTTTATTTTTTTTCTATTGAGTTGGAATTTTTATGTGTGTTTGGAAAGTCACCCAATAATTAGATTTTGTTCTAATCTATGTAGCACGGGTACGGCAAATAAGTGCCGTACCAAGTACCCGATACGTCCCCAACTTGGGTACAAGACGGGTACAGCTTGGGTATATATCCGAGACGTCTCATGTTTAAGGGGTACGACTGAAATTAATTGGGTGCATCAGATAGATTTTTGGGGACGTATCGGGGACGATATTTGATCTTCACTCGCGTACCTAGAATTATTTTTAAGATTTAAATAATAAAAAAAGGATATAGTTGAATTATGATATGATTTATTTTTTAATTAGGATTTAATTTCTCATACAATGAGGTATTCTTCGGATCCAAAAAGTTGATAACTAACTTCGATGCCGAAACTCCATTGCTCCAATCTTTGACTTTCAAAGTGCTTGAACAACCTACTTCATCCAGTTGTTGCGAAAGAAATTGGAGTAATTATTCCTTCGTCCACTCACTTAGGAGGAATAAGTTAAATCTAAGTTGTACTGAAGATTTGGTTTACATTAACTGCAATCTCAATCTTTTATCAAAGAATTCTAGTCACTATGAACTTTAATGAATATTTATGACTTTTTTTTAAAAAAAAAATTTAAGATTTATTTTATATTTAGCGTACTTGTACCTTATAATTTTTAAAATTATCGTTTCTTGTCCCTGTAACCATCCCTGTATTTGTCTCCATACCCATATCAGTGCAACCTAGGTTCTAATTATATAGTTGACAACTATCATAATTTGTGGGTCCGGTTTCAATTTTATAATAAATATTATTTTAAAATTTAAACTTACATAACTTTGTAATTACAATTTGTACTACCAAACATGACTACGGTTGTAATTGCAGTTATGTCCAAACATGTCATATCGAGACAAGGGATGAGAAAAATAATGGGACTCTGGTCTACATTAACTGCTTAAGCATGTTTAATTACTATTTTGTTCATAATGTTGCTTCTAATATGTGTAGGATGAGCTGAGGGATGCTGTGCTGCTTGTATTTGCAAACAAGCAAGATCTACCAAATGCTTTGAATGCTGCTGAGATCACTGATAAACTTGGCCTTCATTCCCTCCGTCAGCGCCACTGGTATTTTATAATCAACTTGTACCCTGCTCTTTTATGTCCATATCAGTCTGTTTGTTCTTAAGAACTTGTTTTTTTTATAGAATGTGATCATTTCTTTATTGGGAGTCACAGGTATATCCAGAGTACATGTGCTACCTCTGGTGAAGGGTTGTATGAGGGACTTGACTGGCTCTCCAACAACATAGCTAGCAAGGTAGGTTCAGACTGTTGTGTGAGCCCGTTGTAGATATTATTCTGTTCTAATTATTGCTTTTATTCATTGTGTTTTTTCTAGGCTTGAGAGGGTCGTCGATGATCAGCGACATTTACATCTGTGGCAGTAATCTTTGCAGAAGTCGAATTTGAATATGTATATTTTATTTTTTATTTCTGGTATTGGAATGCTTCTTTGGCTTGTTAACTTTTACAAGAAATGTACGAGGTTGTGTTAGATACGGGCAGTTTGACTGCCTGCCTGCTTTGTAGATGTAATTCATTGTTCTCAGAGTTTATTGAATTCATTGTCGACATTTCATAGTAATAAGTTGTGAAATTTCCGAGTATGATCGCAGATATGTTTATTAGTTAGGTCAGAAAGCTCCAGGTGAGCTGGCTGTTCTGGCTTGATAGGCTGGGAAGATTACCGGCAATTCATCTGGTTCATCTCTATTTTGCATGAATCGTCGGATCGGCTTCCTTTTGTTCCAAGGCTTGTAGCCCTTGATGGGTTTGATCTTTATCCATATACTATGCCTGTAGAAAAAGAAAGAAAGAACGCAACTGGTAAAAGAAATGCCATAAAAATGTATTATTACTTATCCTGATTAACCTTTCTTCTCTTCTTGCGCAGACCAAGTGTTTGATGCTAAACAAACCCCTCATAGATTTGGTAATTTATCCAAAGTTAAATGATTTCCAACCTCTGCAAAGGAAAAATTTGGATTCAATCCAACTTTTTTCTTTCATATTAGGTTTCACATACTTTTAATATACTCACCTTGTTTATTAGGATCTGGAACTTATTTAGAAAAGAAAGAAAAACTACAGAAAATATTCATTTTTATATTCAAAACGTTTACAAATAAATCTACAAATAGTCAAACTAAACAAAGAATCCGTAAGGACAGCATAATAGTTGCTTATGTTTTCCTGAGAAAATATCTGTCTGTTCCTTTTAATAAATATAAGGACACATCAAATACAAGTAGAAAGAAGAAAATAATAGATTTACAGAATTACACTCCCTACACAGCTTAGATGTATTGTATATATCATTATTAATAATTTATATCCCCGTCAGATTAAGGCCACGACAACTAAGCAGCCGATGGGGCTTTTAAATGATGAATAATCCCGGCCTCCGGAAATGATTCGAAAAATTGTTGCAGGCCAGCTTGGTCATCCTCATCAGCTTCTGTTTCGCCATTGGCCATAGCATTTTCGAAGTCAAGCGACTCATCCTTGTAGATATCCCACCATTTTCCCACCAGCATCTTAATGTCTTCTCTGTCCATGTTCTATTCTTTGCCGTATACCTCCAGGGTTTGGAGCCAGCAGCGCAGTAGTGAACAACTTTGGCCTTTTCGAGCTCAATGTTCTTAGGGTGGCGCCATAGCATGGCCATCACCAAGTTGTAAATTGGAGGAATGGGCCTGTAAATGTTCTTAAAGAACATGTTAAGATAATCCTGCTCAGCAAATGGGGTAGGAGGAGTAACTTTGAGAGTGGTCAACAGGTCCTCATACACAGAAAGACTGGGTTCGTACACAAACATGCCTGCGTTGAAGTAAAGAGGAGGCTTAGGACCCAGCGGAGAAGGCCACTGGACCTTGTTAGGGCACTGTTGGCAGTAGCCAATCTTGTACTGTGGGGTGTGGCTCCAGGTTTTCTCACAGAAGCAATCCATCACTGCATAAAAGTAACCATCTTCCATGTCGAACAAGTGGTCTATGTTGTCAAACACTTGGATGTCACCGTCCAAGTATATCATCTTGGAATACTCCACAAACTGTACAAAAAAGAAAGAAATTTTTTCATTTTGGAATCTGAAATTCCTAAACAGAAAATGCAAAGATATAATTAATATATATACCTCCCAGATACGAAGCTTGGAATAGTTGATGACATAGTAAGCCATGGCAAACTGGGTGTGGTTCTCGGGTGGATACACAGGCTCAATCTCCTTGAGTATGCAGCCTTGTTCTGTAAGTGTGTTCCTGTGATCCTCCGGCACGTCAGGCAAAAGAGCCACCACAAGTGGGTACTTGCTCTTAACCTTCCTGAGTCCCTTGGCTAACCCCACCACGCCCTTGACGTAGTCACCGTCCCCTGCCAAGAACGTAACGTATGCCCTTTTGGGATGGATTGCAGCTTTGGCGGTGACAGTGGCAGCTTTAGTGCTGGTGGCGTTAGGGGCCATGTTCGAAAAATGGTGTGGTTAAATGTTAAAAGAAAAAGGTAATGGGTGTTTTTAGCTTAGCATTTGATTTGAAGGAAAATAGAGATTGGTGATGCAAGAGAAAGGTCAGTTGCTGGTGTTGAGGAGGGATGTGGGAGGTGGTGTTTATATAGGCTATAAACAACGCGTTGGCCCATCAGGAACATAAAGGAAAATAGAAATAATATTTTATAATATCCTGGGTTAATTAACTATTTTTTTAAATTCCATTTTATTTACAGCTTAACTAACTCCAACTAACCGACATCACCAAACATACGTGGTCCATTGTCATATCGCCACGTTATCCATTGAGAGTCAAGTATTTTCCTCGTAGACTGTCGCCTGTTCATAGCTTAATATGAGTGGTAAACGTCGTCGTAGGGTCCAGTAAATCTACTGCTCCCAGTGGGACAATCAGACGCCATGTGTCAGCATCGTGAATAATGTCGGTGAATTTACTTGTCAGTTGCTTGAATCAAACGGTCCAACAGAACCGTTTCATTTATCCTTTTCATTTGTTTCTCTTTTTCAAAGTTTCTAGTTAAGTTGGTTATGACCCACAATCATTAAGATAACAAAACGTTTCAATGCATTAGGTTTATGGGATATAGTTTCTTTATTTAATGGACTAAACGACCAAATCTCCGAGGATAATTTTCTTAAACATATTTCTTTTTCATTGTCTTTCAACTTATCCAAAGTTTTACATCCAATTTTCGATTTTTTAACTTTTAAAACTGATGTTTTTGTAGTGCTATATTTAATATTGATTATTATTTCTGTGTGAACCTTTTAAATTTTATGTACGAACCAAGTAATCTTAATGGTTAAAGGGTGATTATCTTTACCAACAATCAGTTATTTAGGAGGATGAGGTATTGGGTCTCTTAAGCAAGGTCAGAGGTTATAATCTTGCGTTTAAGAATGGAGCAAATTGAGTTGGGAGGGTCGCCATCGCCTCTGCAGTATCCGATCTATATTAATCGGTCAATAGATCGGATACCAGTAATTAATTCAAAAAGAGTGATTATCTTTAGATGTCACGAGTTTGATCACAATGTCTGCAATAATAATTTTGCAATTTTGTACTCTTAAATTTTTAATATAACTTCTAAAAAGATTTTCACCCTGACATAAAATCTTACATTCATCTATGTTAGTAAGTGAACTAGATTACTCAAAATTAAATTAATCGAGCTTTTTAAATTGTTAACCATTTATCAAATAAAAAAATTCAAAGAAAACATTAATTAAACTGAACAAAATTTTGGATGATTCAATGTTTTTGAATTAGCTTAAATTTGTTAGAAGCTATGACATATAACTATTTTTTTTTTAATTTGGGTTTGGATATTTTCTTTACTTGTTAGAAAACTTATGATATATGTTTTATATTTGAATCCGAGACGGTTTTAAAATTTTAATAGGTTTGGACTTAAAATATATATAACATATTTAATATTGAATATTATAGGATAATTCAATTATTTAATCGATTTTAATTTGAATTAATCAATAATTAAACTTTAAAAAAATCCTTAATTATTCTGTGTAGGTGATAAACTGTTTAACCCAACTAATTTAAAACTTTTTTGATTAATTCAAAGCAAGAGGGGATAATTAAAGGATGAAAAAGAATGAAGGGCCAAGCTTGTCCAGATTTCTGGGAATGATTCCTTGAATCGGTCACCATTTTTAGCATGGTTAATGGATTTATATGACAACAAATATTTTTAAAAATTGAATTTAAAATTTAAAAGGTGGAAACCTACGTTTGCATTTCTTCTTTGGTCGTGTAAGATTACATAACATTAGATTAGACTTTGGGTTGCTTGTAACATATAAATTAACAAATGTCACCACCCATATCCACATTTACTAATTGGATAATGTAATATTTATTCTTTAAATTTAGAAATTCAGTTTAATTTAATATTCAAAAGTTTTTATTTTTTATGACGTAATTTTTTTAAAAATTAAATATTTTATTATATAATTTTAAAATATTGCATCATAAAATTAAAATTTTAATTCAAATATTAATTTGAAAACAAACAGAATATTAGGAAAAACATACTGCCAAGTTGAAGTTAATTCATTGGGGTACTAAAATGTCCACATTTACAAATGAGACTACAAATAATCAAATCATAGAAAATAGCCATAAGGATAACATAATCATAGTCCTAATCCTATTATTTTTCTGATAAAATATCTGTCCCTTTAAAAAAAATGTAAGGACGGATCAAATACAATTACAAAGAAGAAAATTACAACATTTAATGCCATCTGCACAATTTAGGTGTATTATATTGTAATGTATAGTATTAATAATCCATATCATCCACCAAATTACGCAGCGGATGGGGCTTTAATATGATGAACAATACCGGCCTCCGGCAATGCTGCGAAAAATTGTTGCAGTTGCAGGCCTGCTCCGTCATCCTCATCAGCTTCTGCTTCGCGAGAAGCTACAACAGTTTTGTAGTCAAGCGACTCATCTTTGTAAATATCCCACCATTTTCCCACCATCATCTTAATGTCTTCCCTGTCCATGTTCTCTTCTTTGCCTGTATACCGCCTGGGTTTGGAGTCAGCAGCACAGTAGTGAACAACCTTGGCCTTTTCGAGCTCAATGTTCTCCGGATGGCTCCATAGCATGGCCATCACCAGGTTGTAGATTGGAGGAATAGGCCTGTAAATGTCCCTAAAGAACATGTTCAGATAATCCTGGTCCGCGAATGGGGTAGGAGGAGTAATTTTGAGAGTGTTCAACAGGTCCTCAGAGAGGGAAACTATGGGTTCATACACAAACATGCCGGCGTTGAAGTAAAGAGGAGGCTTAGGACCTAGCTGAGAAGGCCACTGGACCTTGTTAGGGCACTGTTGGCAGTAGCCAATCTTGTACTGTGGGGTGTGGCTCCAGGTTTTTTCACAGAAACAATCCATCACTGCATAAAAGTAACCATCTTCCATGTCGAACAAGTGGTCTATGTTGTCGAACACTTGGATGTCACCGTCCAAGTATATCATCTTGGAATACTCAACAAACTGTACAAAAAAGAAAGAAATTTATTCATTTTGGAAACTGAAATTACTAAACAAAAAAATACAAAGATATAATTAATATATATACCTCCCAGATACGAAGCTTGGAATAGTTAATGACATAGTAAGCCATGGCAAACTGGGTGTGGTTCTCGGGTGGATACACAGGCTCGATCTCCTTGAGTATGCATCCTTGCTCTATAAGTATCTTCCTGTGATCCTCCGGCACGTCAGGCAAAAGAGCCACCACAAGTGGGTACTTGCTCTTAACCTTCCTGAGTCCCTTGGCTAACCCCACCACGCCCTTAACGTAGTCACCGTTCCCAGCCAAGAACGTAACGTATGCCCTTTTGGGAGGGATTGGAGCTTTAGCGGTGAGAGTGGCAGTTTTGTTACTGTTGATGTTAGGGGCCATGTTTGAGTACAAGGGTAAGGTACGAGTGTTTGGTTTGAAGGGAAATTGATGTTATGCTTTGGTATTTGGTATCATGCAGTAGAAATCTCAGCTGTTGGTGTTGTGCTGGGTGCGGTGAGGTGGTCGTGTTTATGTAGGAATAAACAAAATAATTTATTTTTTATAAATAAATTGTAAATCAATTTAAAATATTTATCATTTCATTAAAAATATAATTTTGAATTACTTGTATGAGCAAAAAATAATTAGCAGCACCAAACACACCTAGTGCACTGTTCAAGATGGGAGTCGGTAGGGGGTACTTAGATAGTGTAGGGTCCATTGTGATACGGCCACGTAATCCATTCAGAGCCACATGGCTTCCTTATAGATGGTTGTTATTAATATATTATGATTCTAAATTTTAGTGGCAAAGTCACCGTAGGGTCCACTGCATCTTTTGCGTGTCGACGCCTGGGGTACTACCAGCTGCCGCGTGTCACCACCATATTCAGAAGCCGGTGATCGACAATTGAGTTTTCTTGTTCGAGTCAACGGTCCAATTATAACAATCCCTTAATTTTCAAAGTTTCTAAGTTAGTTAGGACCCACAGCTGCATTAAGATGATGAAATGTTCTTTCATTTAATGGACTAACCGACCAAACTTTTACGATAATTTTTTAAAGACAGTAACTTAACTCACATCATGAATCATTAAAAGATATAATTCAAACAAGTCTCTTTACACGACACACTCAAAGGATGCTGAATGCTATTCATCATCATTAATTAATGTACTAATAGTTTTTAAAAAAGGGAACTGATATAGCTCAGAGCACCAGAAATTGGACTCCTTGAGGTCGATGTTCCAGGATCAGATGATAGGCAAGCATTCTAGCATCTTCTTGTTTCTTTAATCTTTGTCCATCAAACAAGGGTGGACGGTCCCAATGAGGAGGGTAAGTGTTAATCACAATGTGTTCAAGGTTTAAAGCAGTTTTAAACAATTAGTGCAATATCTGCTTTAGCCCCAACAAAGCCAACTATTTCCACCTCCTTCAAGTTCAGCATCTCCGGTCCTTTTCCGTCGTCGTTTATCATCGTCTTCACTTTGCCGATCACCCTCCCCACCGCTTCGCTTCCTTTCATCAGTCTAATTGCATAACCTTGTTCCAACTAATAATATATGATGTTTACTTAGATCATGCATGGGTATATAAATATACCAGCTAGAGTTGAGACAATTACGTACCTCAACTCTGAATTTATGCAACAGAGGCGCGGAATCCACCAGGAACAACAAATTTATAAGCCCTCCTTTTGATTGAAGCAATAAATCCCTAACTTTACATGTCAAACATCGAAGGCTCCGTAATTTCGGACACCCTCGGATCTTCAAATCGAATTAGGAAACAACCAACATTATTCAAACCATAAAATCAAATCAAAACAGGATATCTATCGATCTATCTATGAGGCTAATAGGATTAACTTACACTTATGTCGGCCTTGAACTGCAACGACAGATTCACCAATTGAGAAACACAGACCGATAGGCAGCTGGGAAAGGCTTGACAAAAGTTGAAGCCTTTTATAGAGTCCCATGGTGCCCCGTAAGGTATACCATAACATACATCATGAAGGTTGGGAACATATTTCAGACCTATAAGCAATCCTATAGATTCCTCTCCACTTTATTCAAAAGAAACCAAATTTGGTGCATGAACTTGAATGCTTTTGATCCCACTGCAGAAAGATATATTCAAGTGTTTCAGCCTCAGCGACGAGCCGCAAACATTCAGATACGTTAGCCATTCCGACAGCGAGTGCGAGACATGCAACATTTCAAGTAAGGGACAACCGGAAAGGAAAGTCCCCAGCACCCTACCGCTCACATCAACATGTTTGAAACAGAGACTAGTTAGGAACTTAATGTCGGATGAACCGCAAAATCGGTCTGCAAACATGTAATGTTCATTGTATCTCCAGTGAATCAATCTGCAGGGTGTGTTCAAGCCTTTTAACCCCCTTCATTAGTGCAATCTCGATCCATCGATCGATGTTATGACTATATTGCTGGGTTAAATCTAATGAAACTCTCAACTCAACTATAGTTGGAGCTTCATGTGAGTTCAGAACGTGAGTAACCCGTTCTACACAGTCATCCCTCTCTTTCTCTTCGGGATTCGGCTGTAACGTCTGTGAAGCCTCGAAGTTTAGACTACAAGTGACAAACTTCCATAAACCTCGCCATACTCCTGAAACAACGCCTGATCTTGCCGCTTCTTTTATGGATAGAGAACATAAAATACGAACAAGCAGTTCTTCAGGCAATTCAGTTATCCGATCCATCGATGCTTTCAAGTAAGAGCCAAGGTCTCAGTACTCAACTATATACGGTTTGACAAAGCAGGCACAGATCATGCGACAGGTCGAGAAATAACATAAAACATAACATCTATCGAACTAAACAATATATACAGTTAAGAGAATTCATGTTATAAAGAAACAAACTTTATGTCACCTTCTTTGGTATGTATTCAATGTTTGACAGCTCCATGTTACAAATATTTTCCATCTCCGGAGAAAAGTTTAAGCCTTGAGAGAACTTATTTATTAGGGTTTAGGATTTGATATTCTTAAAGTTGTAGAAAAGTTAGTCTGATGGAAGTTATTTGCTTATTATGGTCTAGAGTTTAATACTATTTACTGAAGGTTGATTGAGATTAAATTTGATATTAATTAGGATTACAATAATATTTTTTGATGTATTATTATAATTACAAAAATATTAAAAGTTTTGAGAGAAGAGTCATTGACTTATTGTAGTTTAGGATTTGTTCTCCTTTTTATTTATATTTATGATTAATATTTTATGTATAGTGTATAAATATAGGATTTGACTGATTTTTTAAATTAAAAAAAAAACCTTTTTTGACCTGCATCTACCAAGATTGCCATTTACCAAAACAGACATCAACGATTGTGCAATGAAAACGGTGGGAAGAGGCGACAGTATTACCAAGATTGGCATGATCCTGCTACAGGAGACAAAGCTCTTGTTTTTGATAAAACGCGAGGGTTGCTGTTGTCTTGGATAATTTTTCTTTGAGAAAATAACCCAGTAACCAAAAATGCCTTATAATATACGATTTTAACCAATTATTTTTAGGTTTGTCAAAATGACGAACAAAATCGCAATGCGAAATAAAAATCGCAACGCGATCTCCAGAATCGCAAATCAATTTCCAGATTCGCAACGCGATTCTGACTATCGCATTGCGATTTCCCAAATTCACGTTGCGATTTTCCTAATTCGCAATGCGAATACGTAATCGTATTGCGATTTACGTAATCGCAACGAGATTCTGACTATCACAATACTGAATTTCAAATTCGCAACTCGATTTCTGAATTCGCAACAGGTTTTAATTTCGCAACACAAATGTTTTGGATATATAACTACGCAGCAGCAGCAACTCATAACCTAAATCCCTAAATCGCAACTCATTCCATCTCCATCTATCACTCTCTTCGGCGACATCCGTTCCTATATCCAACGACATCCTTCCCCATCCGGCAACAGGTTTTAGTTTCGCAGCTCGTTTGTTTAGTAAATTAATTTACAATAATGAAATCATCTAATGTTGATCATGTTTGGATAGATTTGTGTTTTGGAGGGTCATGGGAGAATGTTCATGGTGTTTTACAATATATGCATTTACCCATGAATCTTCAACTAAAACTGTCATTAAAAAAGTTAACTTATGAAACTCTAATGTTATGTGTTGTAAATAAATTGAATTTAGAGCCCCTAAGTGGATTTAGGCTATCTTATCATAGAAATGATAAAGTTTATTTGTTAACCGACAATGAAGATGTTGAACGATTCATTGCTTACATTAGTGTTTCAAGTGATGATGTTACATTGTATGTTGTTAAACCTAGAAGTAGTGAAGTTGGGTCAGTAGCGGGTAGTAATCAACTAAGTTTTTCAACCCCAGTTTATGGTGCTCAAAATTTAATGGTTCCACCACAATTTCATCACCAAGCAAATATTGTTTCACCACATTTCCAATACCAAACACAATCTCAAAACCCACAACCTTTTCATAATCCAAATCCCAATCAACTTTCAGCACCAAATTTCGGTTTTCGTATTGACCAGTTAGACGATGATGAGCCAACAGAAAAAATTGTGAGTACTAGTCAGTATTCGAAATTTGATCTTGGTCAATACCCATACTTTGATCTTGGTCAATACTCGGATTTTGATGATTTTTCAGAAGAAGAAACATATCATGCGTGTAATGATTTTGATATTGGTCAATACCCGAATTTTGATGATGAAACAGCCGTTGCCGAGGAAGATGTTGTTGATGATAATGAGGAGGAAGTTACGATTGTAAATGAACATGTTGAACATCCATTCTGTAATTCATATAACACTGAAGAAGAAAAAGAAGAAGAAGAAATCCCCAAAGAAAAGTCCTCGAAGAAAATACCACGGGAGTATAACTAGAATATGCCAGAATTACTTCAGATACCGGAAGAAGAGTTGGTAAAGATAGCAGTTGATTGTTACACAAAAATTATTCGTATCAAGAAAGATGATTGTTTTGATACAAAGGAAGACTTGAAGATAGCTTTGTATACGAAATGTGTGGAAGATGACTATCAACTAAAAGTTAACAAATCAAGCAAAGATCGTTTCAAAACAAGGTGTATGATTGACAAAAACTGTATGTGGCGTATGATTGCAAAGAGGATAAAAGATTGCGAAATGTTTCAAGTTATGACTTTTATTGATAAACATACATGTTCAAGAACCAAAGTTTTTCCTCACCATAAACAGGCAAACAAAAAGGTGTTGGGTGGTTTTCTGGCTGAGTTAATGTTTTTGAATGGTAGGGTATATAGGAGACATGAAATTATGACTGACATGAATGCTCGGTTCAAGATTAGTATCTCATATTCTCAAGCTTGGAGAGCCAAATGTTATGCCTTGGAATTGTTGAGGGGGTCG